GTTAATAATTATATTCAGTCTTATGGATTACTTTTTTGTTTACTCTAGATACTAAACTAGTCTATTAACAATGTTTCATAATGTAAATATCGATGACATCCATGACGTCACGGAGTCTCCCATTTTCCATCCTGAAGGGATTACAGACTAAGGGAGACTGTGTTATATGTGTGTGTGTGTTTGTGTGTGTCGGTTTCCCGACAGAAGTGATGTTTATGAAATTGTGTAACTTTTTTTAAAGTGCATGTTGATTTGTACAAGCGTATGTCCAATTTGTTATGTTTGTGCAAATACCATAGTTAATGTAAATGTCATACTTTGAGTGTACAATATGCGATATTTTGTGTAAATGTTGGCATTTTATGCTGTATGATTGATTTTATATATATATATATATATATATATATATATATATATATATATATATATATATATATATATATATATATATATATATATATATATATATATATATATAGGGACACATAGCCTCGGAGAAAAATATATATAGATATATATATATATATATATATATATATATATATATATATATATATATATATATATATATATAAACTTCCTAACATCTCTGTGACTCATCTGAGTTTCCAGTTTCCACCCATGTCCCCTCGTTCTGTTATTATTACGTTTGAACATTTCATCTATTTCCACTTTGTCAATTCCCTTGAGTATTTTATATGTCCCTATCTATCATCCCCTTCCCTCATCCTCGTAGCTTGTTTAACATGTTGATGAATGTTTCCAGGATGAGGTCTTCAAATTTACAGGTCCAAAAATCTTCTGTTTTAGCTTAATATGCTTCTCAGTCTATGGATTTCAAGTTGAAGTCGCCGACTATCAACAGTCGTGATCTATCGTTATCCGCTCTCGCTATAATCTCTCTCATTATTGTTATAAGACCTTCACGTTTACTATCTAGCTCCTCCTTTGACCATGTGCTGCTTGGCGGTGGACTATATGCATTTATCATCATTAGTTTATCATCCTCATGGCAAATCTCTAGTGCTATTATGTGTGTGTGTGTGTGTGTGTGTGTGTGTGTGTGTGTGTGTGTGTGTGTGTGTGTGTGTGTGTGTGTGTGTGTGTGTGTGTGTACTCACCTAGTTGTGTTTGTGGGGGTTGAGCTCTGGCTCTTTGGTCCCGCCTCTCAACCGTCAATCAACAGGTGTACAGGTTCCTGAGCCTATTGGGCTCTATCATATCTACACTTGAAACTGTGTATGGAGTCAGCCTCCACCACATCACTTCCTAATGCATTCCATTTGTCAACCACTCTGACACTGGAAAAGTCATGATTATTGAGGATTGTAAAGTTTTAACTGTTCATTGTTTTGTGATGATTGCTGATTGTTCTGTGGTGACTGTGGATTGTATTTGGCTCCTTCCTTGCAATAATTGTGCTCTAACGTTTTGTTTAATGAGTTATGAAAGTTAATTTTGAAGATTTGTGATTGTATTATAATTGTTGATTGTGTTGTGATTTGCATTTTACTATGTTGATTGTTTATTGTGTTTTGATTTGTGTTGTGCTGTGATGATTGTTTTCTGAGTTATGATTCGTATTAAACTGTGATAATTGTTGACTGAGTTGTGATTCATATTGTGTTGTGATGATTGTTGTATTGTGATTCATATTGTGCTGTGATGATTGTTGTATGTGATTCTTATTGTGCTGTGATGATTGTTGTATGTGATTCTTATTGTGCTGTGATGATTGTTGTATTGTGATTCATATTGTGCTGTGATGATTGTTGTATTGTGATTCATATTGTGCTGTGATGATTGTTGTATTGTGATTCATATTGTGCTGTGATGATTGTTGTATGTGATTCATATTGTGCTGTGATGATTGTTGTATTGTGATTCATATTGTGTTGTGATGATTGTTGTATTGTGATTCATATTGTGCTGTGATGATTGTTGTATTGTGATTCATATTGTGTTGTGATGATTGTTGTATTGTGATTCATATTGTGCTGTGATGATTGTTGTATTGTGATTCATATTGTGTTGTGATGATTGTTGTATTGTGATTCATATTGTGTTGTGATGATTGTTGTATTGTGATTCATATTGTGTTGTGATGATTGTTGTATTGTGATTCATATTGTGCTGTGATGATTGTTGTATTGTGATTCATATTGTGTTGTGATGATTGTTGTATTGTGATTCATATTGTGCTGTGATGATTGTTGTATTGTGATTCATATTGTGTTGTGATGATTGTTGTATTGTGATTCATATTGTGCTGTGATGATTGTTGATTGTGTTGTAATTCCAAATGATTTTGGCGCGACACGTTAACTAATGTGTAATGCTTCCCTCACCCCCCCTGCCTCACCTGGTGGGGGGGGGAGGGGTGATAACAAAGATGGGTACAACCCTACAGTGCACCCTGGCCACAGTGCTCCCTGGCCACAGTGCTCCCTGGCCACAGTGCACCCTGGCCACAGTGCTCCCTGGCCACAGTGCACCCTGGCCACAGTGCACCCTGGCCACAGTGCACCCTGGCCACAGTGCTCCCTGGCCACAGTGCTCCCTGGCCACAGTGCACCCTGGCCACAGTGCTCCCTGGCCACAGTGCACCCTGGCCACAGTGCTCCCTGACACACCCTGGCCACAGTGCACCCTGGCCACAGTGCTCCCTGGCCACAGCCACAGTGCTCCCTGGCCACAGTGCTCCCTGGCCACAGTGCTCCCTGGCCACAGTGCACCCTGGCCACAGTGCACCCTGGCCACAGTGCACCCTGGCCACAGTGGCCACAGTCCCTGGCCACAGTGCTCCCTGGCCACAGTGCTCCCTGGCCACAGTGCACCCTGGCCACAGTGCTCCCTGGCCCTGGCCACAGTGCACCCTGGCCACAGTGCACCCTGGCCACAGTGCACCCTGGCCACAGTGCTCCCTGGCCACAGTGCACCCTGGCCACAGTGCACAGTGCTCCCTGGCCACCCTGGCCACAGTGCTCCCTGGCCACAGTGCTCCCTGGCCACAGTGCACCCTGGCCACAGTGCAGTGCCCTGGCCACAGTGCTCCCTGGCCACAGTGCACCCTGGCCACAGTGCACCCTGGCCACAGTGCAGTGCACCCTGGCCACAGTGCTCCCTGGCCACAGTGCTCCCTGGCCACAGTGCACCCTGGCCACAGTGCACCCTGGCCACAGTGCACCCTGGCCACCACCCTGGCCACAGTGCTCCCTGGCCACAGTGCACCCTGGCCACAGTGCACCCTGGCCACAGTGCTCCCTGGCCACAGTGCACCCTGGCCACAGTGCTCCCTGGCCACAGTGCACCCTGGCACCCTGGCCACAGTGCTCCCTGGCCACAGTGCTCCCTGGCCACAGTGCACCCTGGCCACAGTGCTCCCTGGCCACAGTGCTCCCTGGCCACAGTGCACCCTGGCCACAGTGCACCCTGGCCACAGTGCTCCCTGGCCACAGTGCACCCTGGCCACAGTGCACCCTGGCCACAGTGCACCCTGGCCACAGTGCTCCCTGGCCACAGTGCACCCTGGCCACAGTGCTCCCTGGCCACAGTGCTCCCTGGCCACAGTGCACCCTGGCCACAGTGCTCCCTGGCCACAGTGCTCCCTGGCCACAGTGCACCCTGGCCACAGTGCACCCTGGCCACAGTGCACCCTGGCCACAGTGCACCCTGGCCACAGTGCTCCCTGGCCACAGTGCTCCCTGGCCACAGTGCTCCCTGGCCACAGTGCTCCCTGGCCACAGTGCTCCCTGGCCACAGTGCTCCCTGGCCACAGTGCACCCTGGCCACAGTGCACCCTGGCCACAGTGCTCCCTGGCCACAGTGCTCCCTGGCCACAGTGCACCCTGGCCACAGTGCTCCCTGGCCACAGTGCACCCTGGCCACAGTGCTCCCTGGCCACAGTGCACCCTGGCCACAGTGCACCTGGCTGGCTCCCTGGCCACAGTGCACCCAGGCCACAGTGCACCCTGGCCACAGTGCTCCCTGGCCACAGTGCTCCCTGGCCACAGTGCTCCCTGGCCACAGTGCACCCACCCTGGCCACAGTGCACCCTGGCCACAGTGCTCCCTGGCCACAGTGCTCCCTGGCCACAGTGCTCCCTGGCCACAGTGCTCCCTGGCCACAGTGCACCCACCCTGGCCACAGTGCTCCCTGGCCACAGTGCTCCCTGGCCACAGTGCTCCCTGGCCACAGTGCTCCCTGGCCACAGTGCTCCCTGGCCACAGTGCACCCTGGCCACAGTGCTCCCTGGCCACAGTGCTCCCTGGCCACAGTGCTCCCTGGCCACAGTGCACCCTGGCCACAGTGCTCCCTGGCCACAGTGCTCCCTGGCCACAGTGCTCCCTGGCCACAGTGCTCCCTGGCCACAGTGCACCCAGGCCACAGTGCACCCTGGCCACAGTGCTCCCTGGCCACAGTGCTCCCTGGCCACAGTGCACCCAGGCCACAGTGCACCCTGGCCACAGTGCTCCCTGGCTACAGTGCTCCCTGGCCACAGTGCACCCAGGCCACAGTGCACCCTGGCCACAGTGCCACAGTGCACCCTGGCCACAGTGCTCCCTGGCCACTCCCTGGCCACAGTGCTCCCTGGCCACAGTGCACAGTGCTCCCTGGCCACAGTGGCCACAGTGCACCCTGGCCACAGTGCTCCCTGGCCACAGTGCTCCCTGGCCAGTGTGTCCCAGGCAGAGTTTACTAATAATGATGCTTGCTGCATGTCTTGTCATGGTAATTATTGTATGACCTGTATGTTGAGGTTATCTTGAGATGATTTCGGGGCTTTAGTGTCCCCGCGGCCCGGTCCTCGACCAGGCCTCCACCCCCAGGAAGCAGCCCGTGACAGCTGACTAACACCCAGGTACCTATTTACTGCTAGGTGTACTAACTAAATATTGCTCCGTGTGTCTCAGGGGAAGTTTTAATGTTGTATTACGTGAAGACATGTTGAGGGGCCGTGTTTACTGTGTGGGTTAACACCTTGGTCTATGTGCTGGCAGGTCGCGGCGTGCTGGTGTCGACGCTGCTCTCTCTCCTCATCGTAAGTCACCATCTTGCCTTCACCGTAAGTACTTCCTCCTCCGTCACACTAACCACCGTAAGTACTTCCTCCTCCGTCACACCAACCACAGTAACTACTTCCTCCTCCGTCACACTAACCACAGTAACTACTTCCTCCTCCGTCACACCAACCACAGTAACTACTTCCTCCTCCGTCACACTAACCACAGTAACTACTTCCTCCTCCGTCACACCAACCACAGTAACTACTTCCTCCTCCGTCACACTAACCACAGTAACTACTTCCTCCTCCGTCACACCAACCACAGTAACTACTTCCTCCTCCGTCACACTAACCACAGTAACTACTTCCTCCTCCGTCACACCAACCACAGTAACTACTTCCTCCTCCGTCACACTAACCACAGTAACTACTTCCTCCTCCGTCACACTAACCACAGTAACTACTTCCTCCTCCGTCACACCAACCACAGTAACTACTTCCTCCTCCGTCACACCAACCACAGTAACTACTTCCTCCTCCGTCACACTAACCACAGTAACTACTTCCTCCTCCGTCACACTAACCACAGTAACTACTTCCTCCTCCGTCACACTAACCACACACGTGTGTACCAACGTTATAATTGGTTCCCTTTCACAATCACCGGATCTGTGTTGTTGGGTACAGTCAGGTGTGTGGGATCTGTGTTGCTGGGTACAGTCAGGTGTGTGGGATCTGTGTTGCTGGGTACAGTCAGATGTGTGGGATCTGTGTTGCTGGGTACAGTCAGGTGTGTGGGATCTGTGTTGCAGGGTACAGTCAGATGTGTGGGATCTGTGTTGCTGGGTACAGTCAGGTGTGTGGGATCTGTGTTGCTGGGTACAGTCAGATGTGTGGGATCTGTGTTGCAGGGTACAGTCAGGTGTGTGGGATCTGTGTTGCAGGGTACAGTCAGGTGTGTGGGATCTGTGTTGCTGGGTACAGTCAGGTGTGTGGGATCTGTGTTGCAGGGTACAGTCAGGTGTGTGGGATCTGTGTTGCTGGGTACAGTCAGATGTGTGGGATCTGTGTTGCAGGGTACAGTCAGGTGTGTGGGATCTGTGTTGCTGGGTACAGTCAGATGTGTGGGATCTGTGTTGCTGGGTACAGTCAGGTGTGTGGGATCTGTGTTGCTGGGTACAGTCAGGTGTGTGGGATCTGTGCTGCTGGGTACAGTCAGGTGTGTGGGATCTGTGTTGCTGGGTACAGTCAGATGTGTGGGATCTGTGTTGCTGGGTACAGTCAGGTGTGTGGGATCTGTGTTGCTGGGTACAGTCAGGTGTGTGGGATCTGTGTTGCTGGGTACAGTCAGGTGTGTGGGATCTGTGTTGCTGGGTACAGTCAGATGTGTGGGATCTGTGTTGCTGGGTACAGTCAGGTGTGTGGGATCTGTGTTGCTGGGTACAGTCAGGTGTGTGGGATCTGTGTTGCTGGGTACAGTCAGATGTGTGGGATCTGTGTTGCTGGGTACAGTCAGGTGTGTGGGATCTGTGTTGCTGGGTACAGTCAGGTGTGTGGGATCTGTGTTGCTGGGTACAGTCAGGTGTGTGGGATCTGTGTTGCTGGGTACAGTCAGATGTGTGGGATCTGTGTTGCTGGGTACAGTCAGATGTGTGGGATCTGTGTTGCTGGGTACAGTCAGGTGTGTGGGATCTGTGTTGCTGGGTACAGTCAGGTGTGTGGGATCTGTGCTGCTGGGTACAGTCAGGTGTGTGGGATCTGTGTTGCTGGGTACAGTTAGGTGTGTGGGATCTGTGTTGCTGGGTACAGTTAGGTGTGTGGGATCTGTGTTGCTGGGTAGAGTCAGGTGTGTGGGATCTGTGTTGCTGGGTAGAGTCAGGTGTGTGGGATCTGTGTTGCTGGGTACAGTCAGGTGTGTGTGATCTGTGTTGCTGGGTACAGTTAGGTGTGTGGGATCTGTGTTGCTGGGTACAGTTAGGTGTGTGGGATCTGTGTTGCTGGGTAGAGTCAGGTGTGTGGGATCTGTGTTGCTGGGTAGAGTCAAGTGTGTGGGATCTGTGTTGCTGGGTACAGTCAGGTGTGTGTGATCTGTGTTGCTGGGTACAGTCAGGTGTGTGGGATCTGTGCTGCTGGGTACAGTCAGGTGTGTGGGATCTGTGTTGCTGGGTACAGTCAGGTGTGTGTGATCTGTGTTGCTGGGTACAGTCAGGTGTGTGGGATCTGTGCTGCTGGGTACAGTCAGGTGTGTGGGATCTGTGTTGCTGGGTACAGTCAGGTGTGTGGGATCTGTGCTGCTGGGTACAGTCAGGTGTGTGGGATCTGTGTTGCTGGTTACAGTCAGATGTGTGTGATCTGTGTTGCTGGGTACAGTCAGGTGTGTGGGATCTGTGCTGCTGGGTACAGTCAGGTGTGTGGGATCTGTGTTGCTGGGTACAGTCAGATGTGTGTGATCTGTGTTGCTGGGTACAGTCAGGTGTGTGGGATCTGTGCTGCTGGGTACAGTCAGGTTTGTGGGATCTGTGTTGCTGGGTACAGTCAGATGTGTGTGATCTGTGTTGCTGGGTACAGTCAGGTGTGTGGGATCTGTGCTGCTGGGTACAGTCAGGTGTGTGGGATCTGTGTTGCTGGGTACAGTCAGGTGTGTGGGATCTGTGCTGCTGGGTAGTCAGGTGTGTGGGATCTGTGTTGCTGGGTACAGTCAGGTGTGTGGGATCTGTGTTGCTGGGTACAGTCAGATGTGTGTGATCTGTGTTGCTGGGTACAGTCAGGTGTGTGGGATCTGTGCTGCTGGGTACAGTCAGGTTTGTGGGATCTGTGTTGCTGGGTACAGTCAGATGTGTGTGATCTGTGTTGCTGGGTACAGTCAGGTGTGTGGGATCTGTGCTGCTGGGTACAGTCAGGTGTGTGGGATCTGTGTTGCTGGGTACAGTCAGGTGTGTGGGATCTGTGCTGCTGGGTACAGTCAGGTGTGTGGGATCTGTGTTGCTGGGTACAGTCAGATGTGTGTGATCTGTGTTGCTGGGTACAGTCAGGTGTGTGGGATCTGTGTTGCTGGGTACAGTCAGGTGTGTGGGATCTGTGCTGCTGGGTACATATTCGTTTGCCTTGTTCGGGTAGAAGGTAGACACAGTAGTCGCTTCTGTATATATTTATTGACTGAGATAGCAAGGTATATATCTGCCTAGCCGAGGTCCTTCTACTCTGAGCCTGTGAGGATAACTGCGGCTGCTGGGAGCATGCTTGATGCTCCTCTGTCTGGCATGACGTCAGAGGCCTACTTGCCTGTGATTGGTTACATTTCAACTGACAGAATTTTGAGTATAACACCGCTCAGACACGCTACCAAGTCGACGTCCCTTGTCGACAAGCTCTGGCTAGCTATAAAGTTACAATGATACTGAAAGGACCTCGGTGGCATTCAATAATGGCTTACATGTGAAATTTGCATAATAATACATTGAAAGAAGATCAGGTGTGCGTAATACTAACAACTCGGCATATATGCACCAAAAAAAAAAAATTCATCATAATAGGTGAAAATCATGGTAACAATGCTTTGATTAAACCAGAGTATTAAGAACATGTGTATGTCTACTGATCAGATATGAACAATACAACTCAAGGTATTGCCTAAACAAAATTATTAACATGTGTCAATGGCATGTGCTTGAAAACCATACAAAATTAAACAATTATTACATTAATGGAACAAAGTTCTGACCTAACAACCACAATTGAATTTCAAGATAGATAATGATTTTTTTTTTTTTTTTTTTCTTTTTTTTCTGAAATAATACAATATATTTACAAGATCAATGTACAATATATATAATGTGCAATATATTTACAAGCATATACAAGACCTGGATCAAGAAGACTAACATCTGCGTGATAGCAGTCAGGATTCACTGGCCTCAATGTGGTTGCTAGAACAATAATAACTCCTATGACAAGCACTGTAAAAATACAAATGGTAGTAGACTTAACAATGGCATCTAATTTATAACCAAATAAAGTTGAGAAAAACTATACATTATATATAATGGTAATAATAAGACACATGTGGTAGAAATACTGCAAATGATTTTTTTTTTCAAAACAAACAGAATAACTGCAGAGTGCAATCAATTATAAATTCTGCGGATATCTACACCTAGCTCATCCAGAGCACTATACAACTCTGGCTCTGACTGAAGGTCCGGAACAGATGAAACTTCATGTGACAAACTATCATCTTGAGAGATATCCTCGTTAACATCTAGCCAATGGACATGTGGTGAGTGCACGGTTGAAACGAGAGGTCTAGATCCAAGATTATAATTGCTAGTATGGGGTTGCTGAACATCAAGTGGTCTGTCAACCACAGAAGGTGGTGTCCGAGTAGGAGTATCTGTCTGGGTAAGTTCATTGTCATCTTCCTCATCAGTCTCGTCAACAGTCATTTTAGCTAACTTCATGTGGTCTAAATGTTCATTTATTTACTCTCCTGTTAACAAGTTCTTAAGTCTGTATTTGTTACCTTTAATAAGCTCGATTACCTTATATGGACCCAAAAATTTCTTAGTTAACTTGTACATAGGACCAGACCTGTGTTGGTTAAGTATCATTACTACAGATCCAATAGTTATTTTACTGGGTTTAGTTCGTGCATTCCTTGCTAGAGTGAACTCGGCTGTTGCTTTGGACAGTTGTTCTCGTATTTTCTTGAATACTAGTTGCATTTGTCTACGCTTCACTTGAACAAAATCATCTACGTTATATAAGGGAGTAGGAGGTACGTTAATCAATTCATTAGGGAGGATCTTATCTGTACCATAAAGAATAGCATGAGGTGTGTCGCCAGTAGAAACATTAATTGAAGAATTTATAGCACACTGAATTAAGGGTATAAAATCATCCCAATTGTTGTTATCAAAATTCAACGTGACTCTCAAGGCATCTAACACTTTCCTGTTAGTACGTTCAGCTAGTCCATTACTTGCCGGATGATAAGGCATAATGCTACATTTTTTGATGTTATATAAATCACACAAGCTAGTTAGAATACTATTACTGAATTC